GAAAAAAAAGGGGGGGGGGGGGGGAAGAAGAGGGGTCAGCACGTCCATCTAGTCTCTCCTTTCTTTCGCTCTGTCTCCAAGCAACCTCATCTCATCCGAGAAGCATCGATCGGTATCTACACTTACGATAGGCATGGAGATTCGTCCCCTCGTCGGAACCGCGTTTCGGGTAGAAGCCAGACGCGATGCCTTCCAGGATTTCGAGGATTCTCAGCCCGACGTAGAAAACTCGGATTCGTTTCTCGGGGAACTCCGGAACTCGTTTCGTGCAGCTCGATCGGAGAATCATTCGTCGAGATCAGAAATTCCATTTCTACGCGGTTTAAATTGCGACCTGAATCATTCACGGAACGGTTCCCCGGTCGCAACGGAAAAGAGAATTTCTCGAGGAAAACCATCGGGATCCCGACATGAAAAGTTTTTTCTGTCGACGCAGGCAGAAGAGGGTATCGGACCAGAGGCTGGCGGAGCTTGAGGCCCTCATCAGTCTGGGGGAGCTGAGACGGTATTTCGCTTCTCTGCCCGTCGGCTACGGGATCATCGACGTCAACAAAATGTGAGTGCTTTCGGGCATCGTTTATCTCATCCTCTCGTCCCGGCACGGTATTTGTGCATCGATGCAGGGCGCATTCAATTTCCGGCGTAAATCTCGAAATCCCCGGTGGAAAAGTAACCAGCCGTCCAGCCTCCTTCGAAGGAAATCTCATCGACCTGTTTTTTTATTATTTAAACCCATCGACCAGAATTTATGGAATCTCATAAAGCGGCCCCCACCGTTAAACACGGTTCGTGTCGATGAGCAAATACGGTCGCTTCGCACGAGACGAGGACGGCGTGAGAAGAAAAAAAGAATCTGTGTCCTGAAGCCTTTCGTTTTCCGTGGAATTTTCAGCGGGAAAAAGAAGAGAGCGCGGCGGGCGGAAAACGACGAGGATTCCGAGTACAAGTACTTCCTCATGCAAGTCCTGAAACGTCTACGAGAGCCGACGGAGACGCTTTCCCCCTCCTCTCACCAACCTTTCCATTCCATCCAGGTGAGATTCAGTTCATCAATTATGCACGAAATACCTGCATTTTCCATCTCGTCGCGATGATACCCGACGAAACGGGTCGAGTCGAGTCGGGTCGGGTCGGGTCGAGTCGAGTCGGGTCGGGTCGGGTCGGGTCGGGTCGGGTCGGGTCAGGTCGGGTCGGACGATCATCTGGGACGCGGAGAAATGTTTTCATCTCACTTGATTAAAATTGAACGCGTGTCGATTCTTCGGTTCTTTCATTCGTGATGAACGTGGGAGGGAAAAAGATGAGATTTCTTCAAAACAAAAATTTATATTCCACATCCGATTCTCTGTTAACGAAAAAATGCTGGACATCCAAGCCGAAAATAATTTACTGCTCTGTAGTTTCTGCTTCGTTTCGCCGAGAAATTCCCTTCACCCTCCCTCTCCCCCGCCCCGCCCCGCCCCACCCCGAATTCTTCCCACGTTTCCTTTCCACGAATCGTAAGCGACAATCATGGACTCCTTTCCGCCTCCGTAAGAAAGGTTAACGATTACGAGTCGGGCCAACGCAAAAAGAGTCGGCAGGATTGAAATCAAATTTCTTTTTCATCGTGGAGCCCCCATTGTGCAATTTTCCATTTTCTTTATTTTTCAGGAATGAAGAGCGGCTCGAACCACATGCTGATCTGCGGGACGGGAAACTTCAACAGCCAGAAAATCAATTATGAGAAGAATTCTAGTTTTTTTTTTCTCCATGTCAATCCTATACAGTATTTCTACCTCCTCTGTTTCGGAATCGAGTGGGAAAAAAAAAAGAAGGAAAGAGGTGATCGATGCATGTGTCGTTTGAGAACTCCTTGGAAGCCAAGAATCCCGAATAAAGTCGTAGCTTTAGTTGACATGCAAGACACTTGAAAAACGTTTCATTTTTTCCGCAAAGGTTTCGGGTCGTGAGGAACGCGAGCATTAATCCATGCCGCCACGGTCAGATCAAGAGAGCCAAGCACCCTAAGGATGCAGCACCGTAAGGGTGAAGCACCCAAGGGCGAAGCACCCTCAGGATGAAGCACTTGAAGGCACTTACGCCCTACAGGTGAAGAGTAATAAGTGAAAGAGGCTTGTCCATCGCAACTGTCACGTTGGCAGCTTTCAAAACATCGACGCATCAGACAAAGAAGGTGGGGGGCAATGTTGACGTTAGGTACTAGACAGTTAAGGAACGCTCGACCTCGACACGTGATATCGAAATGGGCAAAATCGCCTCTTGATATCACTATCTTGAATCTTGAAAAAAAAGGAAAACAAAAACTCCGGGGAAGGTGGCGGCCATGCGTCCTGTCCCTATTATTAATAGTATGGAAAAAGTGCCTTTTCCTCCCCTCAGAATTCATGGGGATGAATTCCTTCATTCTTCGTTGCCGTTATAAGCGAAAGGAAGCCGAGTCTGTTTCTCAGACTTAACAGGAACCGGCACTTCCGGCAGGTACTGAGCCATATTCCTGCATCTTCTCTCGTTCTTTTTCCGGAATTCTAATGAGTTGATTTCTGCCGGTATCAGCCTCGTACGGACCAATTTCGTCGACCCGTGTTTACCCATTCCCATACGAGGCTTTTACGGCCTCGCAATTTCGTGGCTCCTTTGGACTGCATCACTTGAGGTGGCAGAGGGCTTCAACGTCCTGCACCGTCCGAGAGTTCTTCCCCCTCATCACGGGAAGGTTCCGATTGAAAACGTGCGACGGGGAGAATCGTCGATCGATAAGGAATCATAAGGATCAATAAGGATCGATAAGGCTCTTGCGTGCGAATGCGAGAAGTCGCATTGCGAGTGATGGCCAGAGACTCGAGGACCAGGGACCAGGGACCAGGGACCAGGGACCAGGGACCAGGGACCAGGGACCAAGGACCAGGGACCAGGGACCAGGGACCAGAAATGTTCAGGGGTGGGACGGATCCGGTCAGCGAACGGGATACGAGGGCCCCCCCAAAGGTTTACGGGTTCGATGCTATAAAATAATGATAGGGTAAAATGCATCCTGCCCCAGAACCATCGTTTATTCATGACTTCTCGATGTAATCGTCAGACAGATTGATGCACTTTTTGATGCACGCGAACCACTTACTTATCAAAGCACTCCATAAAACGCTTGGTCTCAAAGGACGCCAGGACCTCTTCCACGTTTTTTTTTTTAGCTGTTCCTCCGCGTGAAACTCGATCCCGAGCAGCTCCCGCTTCCTTTCATCGAACAACCAAACGTCTGAAGGTGCGATGTCTGGTGAATATGGCGGCAGCTCTTTGATTTTCCACTTCTCCAACTCGGATGCCGTCCTTTTCGCCTCGTGAGCTGGGGCGTCGTCGCGATGCGACATCATCCCCTTCAAGACGCGCTTCTTCCGCCTCTCTTTTTGGGCGTTCAACACTGCCGGCAGGCAAACTCTTGAATGTCACTCGGCAGTCACAGTTCGCCCATTTTCCAGTGGCACTGCCTTTACCAAGACATTTTTCGTGAAAAAAAATGACAAACATGACCTTGAATCCAGACTCGATATGGTGCAGTTTTTTTCGGAGGAGGAAGCCTTTTGGAAGCCATACCGATGATTGCTGTTTCATCTCGGGGTCGTAATGGTAGACCGTCACCTGTGATGATCTTGTATACATCAGGAAAGCGAATCTTTGGAGCATGAACTGGCAGAACTCCACGTGGGCCTCTTTTTCATGCTCTTTCAACAGATGGGGGACCCAATGGGGGACACTCATCTCTGCTGAAGGTTTTCATGCAAGATAGTTTGTATGGATGAGTTTCGCCTAAGACTGTTCATTTTCTCGTAGGTAATTCGCAGATCTTCCTTCAGCATCTCTTCGATGGCGGCAACGGTTTTTTCATCGTTGGCGGTCGAAGGGCGCCCTTCACGATTGGCATCATCCAGCCCAAAGTGACTTGAATTTTCGGTTCATAGTTTCCTGACATGGGGCATCATCGCTCCAGGCAAAAACAAGGCGGTCATGGCTCTCTTTAGCAGTGAGACCACACTTCCAATCGTACAAAATCATTGCACGAAATTCTTCACGGCTCGGTTTGGGTGGCTCCTCTGGGAGTCAGGTCAGGGAGTCTTAGCTCACGACCAGATATTCTCTCGAAACCTCACACAACTTGGTATGCAATACCCTGGAACACTAAAGAACAAAATGACAAGGTCATTGGTTTATAGTCATAGACCCCAGAAACTTTTTTTTGGGGGGAGGGGGGGGGGGGGCCTCATATATTCCATGTTCTGCATTCAATTAAATAATATGCAAGTAGGATTGTATAGTGTCCTTTTGAAACAATTTCTCATTAATAAAGAATGCATTACTTTTTTTTTGGGGGGGGGGGGGGGATGGGGCCTACCAATATGGAGTCGCATCATTCTTTTCTTTCACTCTGAAACCTTCGACACCCCTCTAGGAGTTGAAATCTGACATTCAGACTCTTTCCATTCTGGAAAATAAATGTTTGCTAGGCTTCACCGATGAGCCGAAGGTGCCATAAATAAGCGTACTCAAATATTTCTCTCTCTTCTGGACGATCGTACCTGCCAGAGAGAGAGAGAGTTATAGGTCAGTCGCTTGAAATCAATGCGTCACATTATTTCCTCTTTGAGTGCTTTTTTCAAGTCAAATATTCGTGATACAATGCATGCGAGCAGTCAAACAAAAACATGCTAAATGAGACTCATTATTTGAAATGGAAAGGATATAGGGGGTGGGGGGGGGATAACATTTGGAAATGATGGGATGCAGAAGAGCAGTCCACGTTCACAGCACCATGTTTTTCGCTACGAATCTCCCTCGTAGGAAAATTCTAAGTAATATTTATTCCTCGGAAGAGTTTTCCCAGGCGGAAAGTCTTTCCCAGAGAAGCATTTTCCTGGAAAGGACATGAATCCAACGACTCGTTCCTGGAGTCATAAAGCTACCTCCACGACGGAGGATCCCCCTCCGTTCTCGGACGCCATCGAGCATCTCGTCTCTCCGCTCCGTCCTATTCGAAGACGCGACGAGGAGCCTCGGGAACGTCAATAGGATGGCGGGATGAACCTGCAAAATGGCCGGATGTCTCCTCCGCAACGACCGCGATCAACGATCTGTCCCGAGCAAGTTACCGGGAGAGTTAGTTACCCTTTGCTTTTTGAAAGGCCAAAGGGGGAACGCATGTCAGGGCCGTAAATAAGGGGGGGGGGGCAAGGGGGGCACCTGCCCCATCTAAGGAAGGGGGCACCGAGAAGGGAGGGGGGCGAAGCAAACGGAAGGCGAATGAGGCACAGAAAAAAAATTGTCGACTCCTGATTCCTGAGAGCAGGTTAGACTTGGCAACACCATGCAGTCAATTCGAGAGTCTGTGATTTCTGAGGCTCTGATGAAAGCAAGGAAACAAGGTATTGAAGACACTTTTCCCATCAGGAGATGCCGTCGAAAGAAAAGAAAGCCCGGTGAAGTTGGTGACCTCTCCCAAGAAGAGTTCTTCAGAATGCAAACATTGTCTATTGGGTGAGCTTGAATGGCGCTTTTAGAGTCTTCGGTCTGTTTGCGATGATTTCAGTTTCCTGAACGGTACTGCCATTGTTAACTGCCCCATTGAAGAGCTTCAGAAGCGCACTAAAGATTTGGCAATGGCATACCCAAACGATTTGAGGGCGGCTGAGCCTCACTCAAAGTTAGAAAGCTTTTAATATCATGGACCTTGTCTGGACCAAAACTTCAGTCATGATTCACAACTGGATACTCTGAATTTCATCCATCAGAAACGCCTGGTCGATGTGCATCCCAACTTGGAGATAGCTCTCAGGATTTTTCTTAGTCTTCTCGTCGATGGAGAGAAGCTTCAACAGCCTTACGCTCATCAAAATATACATCAATACAATACAATCCAATCCACGATGGGCCGAGAAAGGCTCTGAAGCGTTGCAATGTTCTCCATCAAAAAACAAGCAGCAAAGGATGTGGATTTTAATCATATCATCGACATCTTTGCGTCTCGCAAAGCAAGGAAAGCTGTGCTTTAATTATAGAGGGAAACTCTTGAGAGTCTCATGAACACTCTAGGGGATATTCATGAGCTCATCACTATTCTGTATACTTGAATTTAACCTTTTGAAGAGTATGCACGTATATTTACGGGTTGAGGTTTTCGTGCACTATAGTATGCCTGTATATTTACGGTTCAGTTTAAAACGAACATGGCAGCTTCTGCCATCTATCTGCAAGTCAAGGAACTTTAACGAGTAACACTAGGTCTCAATTTAGGCGACGAAATACATTTATTACTTACACTGGGTACAGCTGATCCGTGAGCTGTTAGCCATGGCGTCAAGAAGAAGCAAAGGTACGACAATAGCAACAATTCAAAGGATGGATTAAAAGTAATTTCCCAACGTTGGGTATAAATTGTTCGTACAGAAGGAGGTTATGTGATGAACAAAAAGGGATTTAGATTGGATAAAATTTGATGAGGATTTCAAGATGATCCATACGCTTGGCGAGTATGGCGGAAAACGATCCTTAGCCATCACTTTTACTTACATTTGAAAACACAAAACTAGGTCAATGTGTTTTCATTGGACAGAATTTTTTGGAAATGGTAGTTAAAACAGGTGAATGAACAGGTGATTTTGCGTGTCTACCTCAGTAATTATTACATATTTAAGATTAAAATTGGCAGAAATCAGTACTGTCTCAAACTCGCCTAATGAAACACTCAAAAGTTAAATTAAACCTGATATTTTAATTTGATCAAATTCCAATAAATCGACGCAAATTTTGCAACTGAACCTTTTTAAGCATACTTCGGAACATGCTTCAAAAATAAACAAAAAGGTTTTATCCTGGACATTGCCTCTGAAACAGAAAACTTTGCCATGGTAGAAAAGCCTCCGGGTCGCCGAAAAAAACTCACTCTAGGGACTGACAGACACAAACGAGGAAAAACGCCAGGGGGGGGGCGCCACATGTGGTATTTATGCCCATGTCAATTTCTTTAGGTTCGCAAACCTCCCGAGGAGCACGTAGTCAAGGGAGTCTCGAAGAGCAGAGCTCAAATCGAATTTAAAAAATTGCCTCCACGCCAAACTGGAGTTACGATATGGAACTCGCGATCCAACGAAATGCGGCAGAAGTTCGTATCAATTTCATTGTCTCATAAAGTGCGCTGCTTAAAATACCCTCGTATCCGCTGCCATATATGGCTATAGCCGTTTTCTTACTAATAGTTACTTCTTCAGATGTCACTCAAACGTCTCGCAACCTACAGGGGTTGCATGCAAGATACTACATCCTTAAACATTAACCAAGTTTCATTCATTTAAATCCCAGACAGCGAATGTGTTAAAACGTCTCGCAAGTGGACTACCTTTTCTGAAGAATGAAGGCAATCGTCGTAGCCACGAAGGGGAGGTTGCCCTCCTCCCAAATGAGGCCCTGTCCGTGCCACCAAAGACCAATCGTTCACCGCTTGCTGTCCTTTCGGTATCCGAATGGAGATACGCCCTTCAGAGAACTGATCATTATGGAAGATCTGAGTCCCGAAAAGAATCCAATCTGCGAAATTTTCTCAATAGCAGTCTCATTTAGATGCAAGACCACGTGGAAAAATCGGAGTTGGCCTATTTGTTTTTTTTTTTTCCTTCTAATTCTTATTCCCTGGCAGGGTGGAACGTCTTCCTGACCTCACAACAGACTGAAAGGAAATGTAAAAAATTGCCCTTAATGGCTTTGGTTTGTAGAGAATCAAACATCTACAGTTTGAACTTTCAAGTCAGGTCACAAAAATCCTGATCGTTCCCCTACTGTACTCCGTTTATTATTATTATTATCATTTGAAATAAATAAAAAGATGTGCTGAAACATACATATGCTAGCAAACAGCTAACATTTAGGTTATAAAAAAAAAGAAAGAAAAATGACATACAAGTGATTGCAAAATCCAGACACTTGAGTTATGTATAAAAGAGGTAAGACTTCATTGTAAGATTTCATGGGTAAACAACACTCATTGATAAATACAAGGAGCACCACGTTTAGGGCAAATGACAGTGCCACACAAAAATCAGGTCAGTCACAAAATCCTGCAAATTAGCACAGCTAGGAATTGGGCACACTTGCAAGGCACCATGAAGTAGTACTATAATTATAATTATCTTAGACTCCCTGAAACTTCAAGTTTCAGATATTAATTCAAATGACAGAAAACATCATGGAGTGGCACTGGAGGTATGCTGAGCACCGATAACCTGCATTAGCCAACATTCCAAGGTCTTCTTTCTCATTAGGTTAACAATTTTCGATTGAAATGAGTGTCTGTGCAAAAATGGGAAGCACAGATTTCCATTTTTCCATTCATGAGAAACAAGGACACAACATCAAATGAAAGATCAGCCAAAGGCATTCCAGGACATGAATGAATGACAAGCAAGAGAACCCTGAAAATGGAAGATTAGATCTCCATGAATAGTATTGGGATCTGTTCTATTAGAAAATTTCTCAACATTCTCTCTTTAATAATGTTATAATCAAAATATAACAGTCCTTCAGTTCTCCAATTAAAATTGCTACGACCTCCTCACAACCTGTTTAAGATGATTCAATGGAAATTAAGGCATTAAAAACATGTTGCCAATGTGAGGCAGTGGTAGAGAAAAATGGACTCTTGCATTTTAAAACCCATTCTGAGAAGTTCCTCAGCTCACACTCTTGTACTTGGCAAACAGGTTGTACAGGACTCTCAGGGTCGACTTCAGATCTCCATTCACGATATCTACGAGGGATAAAATACAGCATGGTCAATTTAAGGCATTCAGTTTTTTCACAGAAACCCATATCTAATGGAAATGACATGAACCTACCCTCAGGCCTGGCCTTGGGGCGGGGAAGTCCGGCATCAATCATGCGTTCAAAGGCAAAGTTGACATTGTGTACTTTCTGATCAAATTCCTTTGGAGTTAAGAAGAAGCTGAAGAGAGGAGTAAAGTAACCCTCCAGAAGTCCCATGAGAAGGACAAGGTAGACACCATCACTGAATTGGGTCTCCAAGTTGAAGACCTCCAAGTTCAAGCGATTCAGGTGCTTGTTGACAAATGCCACCAGTGACTGCAAGTCAAATCAAAGTCTGATACAATCCTGGTTTGGCAAGGAGCAGAATCTGTCTATTAGCATCCAAAGACAATACCCGCTTCACGACTTGAAGTTTGTCAGGAGCATGGTCAAAGAGGGTGTCGAAGGCATCTCTCTCTCCTCGGAGACCAAGGTCGTCATATGTGGAAGTCAGCTCTTCCATGATGGTCCGGTGATGCAGAATTCCATCTCTCTTCTACAAAGCAACCAACAAAAACTTAATCAAGGAACTTTCTTGTAAAACAAAGTCAGGGTATCAGAGATCCTGTCTGTCACCTCACCTGGACGACAACAACGTTCAAAACTACATTCTCAGGGAGGCGAATAGGAGCTCTGAAGTGGCGTACCAAGGCCACCAACAGGTGTAAAATGGCAACTAAGTTCTTAGAATGGATCTTCTCCACACTCCACTGCAAGTTGGGCCATCTATGGACTCCCAAGCACTGAAACATAATGCAATTATATGTCTGAGAGGAATGCACAAATAAATGATTCATACAAACCTACATCTTGACTTGGACTCACCTGGTTGGCAGCATTGAGAACAATGCGAAGTTTGTGTTTCTGGCCTTCCTCACTTTGGGTCACTTCTGGAACTTCCAGCAGGACATTGTTTAGTTTTTCTGGAAGGAAACACATCATGAGATGAATAGTGTGCATCAGACAAAATCCACTGATGTAAATCAATATTTAAGAAGTACAGGAATGGGAAAATGAAGGGGCAAATGGGGGATGAAATATCACCCCCTCCCCCCCATCTCCATGTTGCTACACCTCTAATCAGGCAATTTTGGTCTTTTTTTCTTTTTTCAATCATCACAATATATAGAGATGCAAGAGAAAAAAAAAGTGTCCAGTTTGATGCTTAGCAACAAAAGGTAAAGATTAAGGATTCAAATCTTTTATCACAATGAAAATGCTAAGAAAAATTAATTTCCTAAAAGCTTATACCTAATTCCCTTATGCGTTATGTAACAGTTTCTTCAAACTTCAGTAATAAAATTGCTTTTCTTCATGAATCAAGCTAGAACAGTTTCAGCTTAGCACAAAACACTTCTCTTACTTCCCATAATAAAGCCAGATATTTCATGGCTGCACTTCAGGTACAGTATTCTTGATGGTACAGTGTCTTCAGGCCCCCTGTGAAAGAGGAAGGTCTTAACATGTTGAAGCCTAAGATGGGCCTGCGATTTGTCTAGAAAGAAAAGAATAGATTGTTTCATGTGAAATCATGTACATGCCATATGGCCTCTCCAACACCAGTTCTTCCTTCTAGCACAATTTTATTGCAGGGATGTTTTGCCTCATCTACTGCAACATGATGACAATGCACAATAAAGAACACTGCAGCAGCCCTAAACCAGTTTTCTGCTACAAATACAGTGCATCTGTAAAACGTGCTAAAAATACTGTAGCTTGGGTAAAAAAAAGTTCAATTTCCTTAAAGAAGCTTGAACAGCTATTCCTTCTTACTTAAGCAGAATGTAGACATTAGAAACTCTCAGGAAATAAACTTTATAGTACTTTCCTGTAATAAAAAAAAAACATGTTTACAATGTCTTATAATAAGTCACAGGACATGTTTTTTGCATAGCCTAGTATACACAGTTGACCATGCTTCAGCAGTAATTCTCTGAAGTTCTTCTAATAAGTAAGGGAGCTGTGTTTCTATTGTCTCTCAAACAGCTTTTAAGGAGATTCTTCCCATACTGAAAAAAGTACATTAACCCTTCAGGTAGTAGCCATCTGTTCTTGAGGGAGTACAGCTGAATGGGTACATCCCTCAATATTAGTGACAGATATCTCTGTCTGTACATGTATGCCCATGACCATGGTCATGAATAAAATTTCTTATAGTGTTTTGGAGAATTCACACACCACAGGGAAAAATTATTTTCTGCATGCAGAGCCACCCACAAAAAAACTCATTACTGATAAGGTTAACACAGTCCCCACAACTCTCTTCACTATATAAACCCAAGGATCGTGTCATGAATGTCTAGTTTAAGTCAAACCTAAAAGTTTTTGCAGGACTTGTCCATCATAAAGGTCTTCCTCTATGTCTTTGACGATGATTCGCTGATCAGCCAGCTCATCGTTGATCCAGTCAATCAAGATGGTTATGAGCTCCTTCAATTTTGGGTCTTCAAATGATCTTGGCTCGATCATAGATCTTTCCTCATGCTCCTCTGGAAAAACAAATATTTCATTAGGCTCAGAAATTTCCAGAATTACTAATGATTACATATTTTTTCTGGTTGCTTTTACAGGTTCTGTTAAATCTAATGCACTGAGATTATGTCAACAATGACAATGAAAAATCAGCAAGCTTGTCATGACATACCAAGTTCAAATTCCTCAGGAGACATCTCACGAGAGACAGGAGATGCGGCATGGTCGATGGCATTTTTCCCCTCCTCCTCAACTTCCTGTGCTGCACAGACCAATCAGCGCCATTAGCTAACTTTGGTACGATATTCTATTACCAACTTGGTAATGACTATATCTGTATAACATTTTCATACTATTCTATTCCAAAATATGGATGCACACATAGATCTCAGTCTACCACCCCCCAAAAGCAGATAAATGAACGATGAGTCATTACTCTTTATATAGGCCTAGATTTGCGATACAGGTGGATAAGAAAAGAAAATGAACCTATCCAAAGGCCCAAGGGCAGCCTAACTTCAGCTCTTTTATTGGTAACCACGCCATCTGTTCATGAAGATGCTGTAAGAAAGTAAATGTCAAGAGTTGAGAATATGAGAGGATGATATAGGGGAAATACCTTCTCGTAGTTTCTTCTTTCTGCCTAAAGTTCCCAATCTATCCCAAAAGGATTCGTCTCTTTCATCCTTTTTAGGAGTTGTAGGTCTTGGTGACTTGGGCCTCGGAGACGCCATTCTTCTCTCTCTTACAAAACGACCGACATCTACCGCCCAGTATCCGAACTTGACAGCTGGAAGTAGTTGCGATAGGTGGCACTTTCGCCTTCCTCCTTTTTTTTTCAAGATACTGCGCATCCAGTCAAGGACTCCAGGGTAGAATTACGACGTAAGGTAATTTCAATGTAAAAGAAGATCAGAAAATGGCATTCGTGAATCTTAACGTGATTCTGATACCCGTTTCGTCTCCTCGAAGCGTGGCATTCCCCCTGAAAGAACAGACGAGTTCAAGTCCTTCAGTTCAGTCGCCACGACGTTTCCGGACTCAAATCTGTCGGGTAATGTCACGATCCACTTCATAGCGCTAACAGTGGGATCAATCTACGAATAACCCTCCTTTCGTTACTAGCATAAAATATTCGTTCATGCCGTAAGAGAAGAACGCAAACACCGAAATTGTAATGAAAGTCACGAACACAAGAAAGCCGTGGATGCGGTGAATTGCATTCCACAAGGAACGAAAATTAAATCCCAAAACTGAGCGCCGGAAAAATTCGTTCGTATTCTGAATTCCTGGAAACCAGTGAAAATGAATTGAACTTCATTTTCTTCTTTTCCTTTCCCAAGTTCATTTTCGGCTGTCTTCTAGCGAGGAAAATGGTAGAACTAACCTCTTCGATTCGCGCAGACGGGAAATCCTGATTTTGAGCCAGAGAAGGCCTAACAAGGACTGCAATCGACAGAAAGGGGTCAGACGAAGCAAAATTAGCGGGTTTATCAGGTCAAGCCGCTTCCTTCGTTTTCGTTCTTCATGTCTTTTAGCAATCCAGTTTGTCTGATAGTTCTTTCTTCTTCTTTCTTTTTTTTTTTTTATCCCTGAAGGTCGTGAGTTTCTCTCTCCTTCGGTGGGATACGGGAGGGTCCAAGACTCAACAGCTTTCAATTGGGATCATTTCGACATTTCCGCCTTCCATTCTTCTAATTCAAAAAAGATGTCGCAACCACCTCGCGATGCATATTTACACCCTCGCTGTGTTCTCCGAAACGACGGGTTGCATGGACGGTGACGGCGCTTCCACTTCGGAGAAATTCACAATGTTTTTTTTTTTTCCTTTTCAGAACGTCTTCCGACAGACTCGACGACTCCTCTTCGGTCGTTCGGTCGTCTTCGTCGACATTTTCCCCATCCAAACGGCTTCCGTCCACTCCGCCATACCGGAAGCTACAGCTTTCGCTCCCGGATCACGGATACTCGTCACCGAGAAAGCTGGACTCGGATCGCTTCGAATTTTCATTTCATCATGGCCACCTGGCATTGTTCGACGACGGGTCTCCCACTGGAATGGAGTCAAGGACTGAACCGCATTCGGCCTTCCATTTCTCTCTTGCCTTTCATTCGCTTGTCCAGAAATGCTATCGACCGATTATGACGCAGGTGCTGATCATGGTCATATCGGTGTCGACATCTCGGACTCGTCAGATCATGTTGCCCGAAGCCGGAGAGTCCCAACTGGTCCAAGCTGTCCCGTGCGCAGAATATATTCAACGATACGATCGCGACCGGTAGTGTAAAGCAGTGGCAGCTCGAGCTTGAAAAACTCGGGAGGCCATCTCATCAACACTATGGGCTCAATTCATTGCTCTGTTAATGAGAGAATGGAACAAATAAAATGAATTCAAGGTAGTCTTGTGTCATGAGTCGAGCTTCCAGTGGTGGGTGGCAAAAAAAGGGCGATTAGAAAAAAACACTCCACATTACCATTTTATATTGAATCGAAGTCTTGTGAACGCCGAACGGAAATTGATACTCGACGAAGAGTGGAGACCATTCCGGTCCGAGAAGAAAAGCATCGATCCCACGACTTTCGCCCATCGCGAAGTTTCGGAACTTCGCCATATCGAATCGAATCGAATCGAGCCGTCACAGCGAGTAGCATGATGGTCGACGTTGACTTTTCCGTTTTCGGTTCCCGCATCGATCATCGACGATGATCTCCGTCGATCTTTGGGTTGTCTGTAGGCTTCCTGAATCCTGCGACTCTGGGAGAAATCGGCAGAGACCGGATTTTGCTCGTTTTGCATCGAGAATGGATCCAATGTTTCCGAGTGATTTCCTTTGGGAGTTAGAGGTACTTAATGGATATTCCAAAGTCGCATCGGAAAACGTCTCTCCCCCGACGATCCACCATTACTGAGCATAGCTTCCTTTGAAAAAGTAGAGGGTGATATATTTTGATGCGCACCGCAACAGATTATGCCAATAAATGAACCTCGACTCTGAACTCGTGTGCCTCTGCTCTTATTTGAGCAAATTGCACCAAGCTGTACAGTACATTGGCTGGTTTATGCTCGACAAACTTGAATAATTACGATGATATTTATTCCATCCCTCTTGCAGGCAAATCGAGTTCATCCAGATATGGCAGATTCCAGCACGATACAATAGACAAAGCAATTTCATTCTACTAGCAATAAATGTAAGAGCGATAGTCGCGGGGGAACGAAACACCTTGTTATGGCCACACATTCTCAAGTATGGTACATCTCTTCCAATAAACACTAATGTTTACGGCTCTACGTTAAATACGGTGAGGATGAGGTTTTTAAAATATTTATTTTGCTTTTAAAACAATTCTAAGCACAAACTTTTCTCCAGACAAGTCCACGAGGACGCAGCGGATTAACGCAAGATTACCCTAACCCGAGTAGTCCTCTCAAGCCGAAGAGATCCACTCTGGTCCAATCCCATTCGAGTCATGGATTGGATGCAAAGCCTCCCCTCGCCCCCCCCCCCCCCCCCCCCCCCCCCCCCCCCCCCCCCCNGCAAACCCCCCCCCCCCCCCCCCCCCCCCCCCCCGGCTTCCCCTCGTTCAGTCGCAAATCGTCGCCTCCGCCATCCATCACCCAAGGAGATCGATCGCGGACTTGAGACATTTCTTCAGCTGGAGCGGAATCCATCGACAGGGATTTCCCGTGTCGCTTAAGCACCGAACACTTTTCACCGAGGGAATCCCAATCTCCACGGTGAGTTTAGGCTTGCGGGATGTGTTCATTGTGTAAGAGCATTGTGATTACGTGGGTTTTCACGGTCGGGACGCTGCATCGGAGCCTTTGTATTCATCTTTCGGAGAAGGCCCTTCTGCTTTTTATAGGTATACATACTGTATGATGCATTCGGACGCAACAGCTGTCCGAGTATATAAAGATGCTTGTCTGGTTGTCTGGTTCGTTGTTTCAGATGCGGTATGGAAAAGAAAGGGAACAAGAACAAAGTAAGGAGACATGCTGTTTATTCGGGAAAGTCAGCGAGTGGTGATCACAGAGTAACGACACCGCAAGCCATGGCATTCCCGGTCGATCCGGTCTGAGGAGTGATTCGAATGGATTTCCCGACGATGGTGTCCAATCCGAAGAGGGTGATTCGATCGGCCGCAACGGGAAAAGAGAACTTGGCCTTTCCTGACTGATCTGCAGTCGTGTCTCCGACGAATCCCCCCTCTTTCACCTATCGAATCCAACCGCGTGAAATCCGAAGTTCGCAGATCCGAGGACGAGGGAGAGAGAAACCGTCACGTACGTTTCTCGGGTTGAAGACGACTCCTTGATTCTGACAGGCGTTGCTGTCGTCGCCGTTGGTCCTCACGGAGATCTCGTAGGAGTGCCCCGGTCGGAGATTCTCCAACTCCCCGGCGACGATGACGTCAGCATTCGGACTCGGTTGCACGAACGTGAGAATCCCGTACTCGGGGTAGCGTTTCTCGCTGGACGCACGCAAAACGGTCTTGGCCGCCAGCGCACCGCCTGCAAATCCGAGTTCTCTCCCTGCCAATCCTACTCCAGGCAAACCTCCGAGTGCCCCTGGTCGTGCAAATAAGTGGTCTTTGCACATGCTCATGCATGGCCATCGGTCGGAAGCCGACTATTATTTGTTCTTAATGACTCGACTCCATTCGCGATTTAACCCCAGAACTGCCAGAAGCAGCTCGGCGGCCTACCAACGTCGATTTTATCGACGGTTGGCAGTTCTAGGGTTAAGACGGACGAGGACAAGCCTCGAAGAAAGAAGGCTTCGAGCCTAAATTGTAAGATATAGGAAAGTTTTCAATTTCAGAAAATATTTTTTATTTTAAATCCCAGAATTGCCCTTTCCATACAACAGTATTGGTTACTCCGAATTTTCTTCGGTACCACACCATGGAGGAATATCGATATGAACAAATCCCAAGTGAGACCGGGGTTCCTGGCCACTACTTACCTAGACTGGAGATGGGAGAGAGGCCAGGGAGAAGTGGGAATTGTGATTGGGCCAGACCGGGGAATTGCGCTTGGGCCAGACCAGGATATTGTGCTTGGAGCAGACCGGGGAATTGCGCTTGGGCCAGACCAGGGAATTGTGCTTGGGTCAGACCGGGGAATTGCGCTTGGGCCAGACCAGGGAATTGTGCTTGGGTCAGACCGGGGAATTGCGCTTGTGAAACACCGGAGAGTTGCGACTGGGTCAAGCCAGGGAATTGCGACTGGGTCAAACCGGGGAATTGCGACTGGGTCAGACCGGGGAATTGCGACTGGGCTAGACCGGGGTATTGCGACTGGGTCAAGCCGGGGTATTGCGACTGGAGGAGACCAGGATATTGCGCTTGGGACAAACCGCCGAGATTCCCGAGGAGAGGATTCGTGTTCAAACCATTGGGATAAGCCAAGTAAGCATAGGGATTCGTGAGCAAAGCGTTAGGATTCGGGTTAGAGGAATAGAGACTCGTGCTCGTCAATGGGTTTGCGTTGCCGAGCGAAGTCCCGTAAGGATTCCCGTACAGACCCAAGTTCGTTCCCAACAGACCGTTCTTCAGCACACTCTGGGGGGAAAGGATGTTCTGGGCCGGGTTGAAGTTGGTCTGGTAAGGGTTCGGGTAGTTGCCGATGCTGCTGCCTCCGTTCAAGAACGGGAAGAGTCGGGAATAGGCGTCCTTGGAGAGAAAAACGGCGGAGTTGCCGGGACTCGTCAGAGCGAATCCGGGATTCGCACTGGGAGTGAGAAGATCCAAGCCGAGTTGTCTCCCGCTGCCGTGGTTCCCTTGACTGTCCCCGGTGTTCGATCCTCCCTGGCTCTGAGAGAGATAGTATCGCCGTCCCGGTCCGTCCAAAAATAAGGGGAAGCCGCCCCTGCCCAGGGTGTCTCCGTTGTTGTTGAAATCGCCAGCCTCTCGGGCGTTCTCGTTGGCTCGGCTTTGGATGATCGAGTCGTAGAGGAAGGGATTAGAACCCAGTTGAGGATTCGCAAAATTCCGGGCATCTCTCCTTCTGAAATTCCGGATGGATTGACCACTCACGACCGCGATCGCCAAAGAAAACAAGACGAAGCACTTCATCCTTTCCAAGATCATCTGAACACCTGAAGAAGAACGTGTCTTTTTGAGAACGCAGTATCCGAAGGCTTATGTTCTATTCAGATGGTGATTGTATCAACATAGCCAAATCAGCATAGCCAAGGATGTAATAGCCCAGCGAAGAAACTCGACTGTACTGTAAGTTTCTCGGAAAAGTTGAACTTTTCAATTCCCTCGAAAATGTTCCCCGAAAAGTTGGAAAAGTTGGAAAGGTGCTGAAATTGGTTTGCGAAAACGATTCGTTACGTGAACCTTCCCCCTCTCCCGGCCCTCCAGTATTTCCCGATTCCATAACGTCAATTCACTTTTCCGAGCCATTAATCGGGTTGACATTGAAAAGGTTGCGATGAGAGATATTGTAATCTTGTCCTCGACCGAGAACGGGATCACGGAATACTGCGATGAATTCGAATGCTCTCTCTAGCCATAAGACGATGTCGCATGCATGTTCCCGAATGTCAGGGTTTCCAAAGCGCATCTCAGTGGCCATTCGTGTATGTCCACGTCCCATCAGTAAAAATGTTATAGAAGCGGGATGATTACCGTACAGCGTAGGGTGTCTTGAGGATGGAAATGTATTACGTACTTGAGATCATTACTGGGATGGGGATCTCTCACCCTCTCATACCAGAGCCACGATCCTATGGTAAACATAGAATAGATTCTACACGTCTAGGCCTAATTAATCCAGGAGTGGGTTCACAAAACGAACGTGGGAAATATCAGAGGAAGGGGAGGGGTGACCAAGCAAATCATGTCTTCTTTTGCTAGGCCAGTAAATAACGTTTATCTTAGATTTCGAGGATCGGCTCCCGTCTGATGTTGAGGGCAAGCTTTCAGGCGAAGTAAATCCATTATGAAACTTTCCAAACTTTCTGAAAGAGATGAAAGAGGCGAAAGAGATGAAATAGATGCGAACTTTTCCAACTTTTCATCTTGAAAAGAGAAATTTGTCGAGTGAACCTTCTCCTATTCGCGTCTCTCTACGGGTTATACGAGATACGACCTGTCGGATCCCCGATCCGATTAAGTTCTGGACGAAGTCCAGCGATAGGGAACGACAGAGGCCCGGAGTCGCCGGACGAGCAACACGACGTCGCCACCGCTGCACAGGCACCACTGGGAAGGAGTGGAGGTCTCAAGTGGCCGAGATGCTGGATGGGATTCAGACTTTCCACTGAAT